TATATATATATATATATATATATATATATATATATATATATATATCTCCGCATCTGTGTTTGTAATGCATCAGAAAATTCTAAGTTGATTTAGTAATAATCCGTATTTTTTCTTTATAATTATCTGCAGGAAGTCCTGTACAAAGGATGATCTATCTCTATATCTATCTGTCTGGCTATCTATTTATCTATCTTTCTTTATATATATATATATATATATATATATATATGGGTGTTTGTATATATATATATATATATATATATATATATTCACACACCCACATATATATACATACATACGTATGTACATACATACATACATATACACACGCACACACACATAGATAGATAGATAGATAGATAGATAGATAGATAGATAGATAGATAGATCATATTTTAACAAAAACATTAGTAGCAACCCATGTTAAAACATACTTCTAATCTGTAATTAATGTAGGATTCACAATCAAGGGAGACTGATACTGAGTTTATACCTCCTGTTTGAACGAAACATTGCCGAATTTAATATTTGAACAATTTATTGATTTACTTTCAATTAAATACTGATCCACAATATTTTCTTATCACAACCACTCGGTACTATTTGTTGAAAAGTTTATAAAGTGCGATTACACCTTTCGTTTCATGTTTCGGTTATTTGAAAAAAATATGAACAAGTCGCATCCTTTTTAAAATTATTTTCAAGTATACGAGCCAAAATCAACGTCTTAACAGAATATTTGACATGCAGAGGGAGAAAGAAATTATATGTAAAAAAAACCTGAACACGCTGTGTGATTTTTCACTGATCCAGCCCGAACTGTTTCTGGGACACATTGACGACGGAAAAATAAATAAAACAAAACTCCTATCGATCGTCTGGGTACATTTCTGCTCAATCCTCACATCATTTAAAAGCAAGAAACTTCGTGCAGATTCCATTTGTTGTGTTTTCGAAATACTCACCTACTGAAATTGTCTTAGCCGACAACACGAACCTAGCGGACTTGAAGACATAACGTCTATAAGCAACGCTACTAAATTATTTACTGACTTGTAGGTCGGTCTGTATGTAGTAGCAGTGCTTGGAAGACACGCTTTCAAAACGATCTATGTTTTTGTGTAGATTATAAATTATACAGATCGTTGTAACTGTCAGGAAAGATGTATACTTTATCCAACACATGTAATCACTTACAAGAAGACAGATAGATAATTGGATACGTCTCCCTCTAAATACGTACGAGAGCAGATGAGGTGCACAGGTGTGAAAAACATTGTTTTCTATTGTTGAACAATTAAATAGGAGGAAATGAATGAGGTCACACCCACCCAAGAGAATCAAATCTGTATGTGCATGTGCATATCTATCTATCTATCTATCTATCTATCTATCTATCTATCTATCTATCTATCTATCTATCTATCTCAAACTGTTCATATCTATGTATGTAGCTATCTATTTCAAAATTTTCATATCTATATATCTATATCAAATTGTTCATATCTATATCTACTTTAAAATGTTAATATCTATCTCAAACTGTTTATATCATATATCTACCTGTTTCAAATTGTACATATCTATCTCTCTCTCTATCTATCTATCTATCTATCTCTCTATTTATCTATCTATCTATCTATCTACTTCAAACTATTCATATCTATATGCTTCAAACTATTTATATCTATCTATCTGCATCAAACTATTCATATGTAACTGCTTCAAACTATTGATACGTATCTGCTTCAAACTATTCATATCTCGCTGCTTCAACGATTTCATATCTATCTATCTGCTTGAAACTTTTCATATCTATCTATCTAT